TCATTTAGGAGGTCCAATGATTTCTGGATATATGTGTCTCTATTCATAAGTACAGTTACATTACCTTTGTCTGATTTTGTGACTAGAAGATTAGGATTATTTTTAAGGAAGATTCTAGTTTCTTTTTTCAATAGCAAAAGATGGTGACTTAAGGTGTTATATAGATATATATATATATATATATATATATATATTTATATATATTATATATATATATATATATATATATATATGATTTCAGTTGTTTTCCGGGTTTGACTCGCGTTAAGTAATTTTGGTTTTTAGAAAAACCATTGTTTTGACGACGTTTCGGCAAGGTCACACTTGCCATTGTCAAGTCAGATTAGTTCTGCTTCGTCTTGATGTTTCAGGAGAAATGATTTCTCGGTCGCTGCTCGCTAAGTTTAAATACCTTGAAGCGCTTCTTGTTATTGGTCCTGTGCGTAGAGTGGGCGGGGTCTTCTTCGCTATTTTTAATTTCTACGTTTTTCTGTTAGAATATGTTTCCACGTATTGTGGGAGTCTTTGGGCATCGTCTCTGGTATTTATTTTTTGGATGTTTTACGATCTCGTGGCTTCCCATGATTACACCGTTTGGCCTTATTTTCGTTTTGGCTAGCATTGTTGTTCCATTTAACGTCGATGTTTTGTGTCATGTGTTGACGTGGTGATGTGGATGAGCTTAGGGCAGTTGAAGTTTTCTGTTTTATTTCGCGGGTTTCGATGAACTTCGCGTCTATTCGTGTATCCTGTCGATTTGTTAGACAAGTTGCATATATATATATATATATATATATATATATATATATATATAATATATATATATATATATATATATATATATATATATATATATATTTATTTTTAAAAATAATAAACTGGTGGTACAGCTTATTTGGTTAAGAAAAAGTGCTTTTTCCATTAGGATAATATTAATCGCAAGAATTGAGATCTAAATTAGAGATTTAAATTACTTTCTAATTCGTCCTATTTCCCAGATTTGGTTCACGGCGATTATCATCTCTGTTAATGGATAATCGCTCCGAGCAAACCAGAAAAAATTAAAAAATAACTAGAAGGTAAGAACTATTTTGTGTGATTCCGAGGTAGTAGCTGCTATAAATTAGATATTTCGCAGGGTAAACTAAGAAAGTAAGTAAGAGATGTAATACAATCTGATAAGAAATAATAACCCCGAGGAGGGGTTATTACTGCTTGTATATTATATCTTGTTATTATTTCTTGTACGTCTTAAGTGTTGTCTTAATATGTTGAATAAATACAAAAATGGTTCAAAAACTAAAAACGTGCCTTTTATTAGAATTTTGAAAATATATTTTTATTCTTTTTAAACAAGAAAATGATCTTTCAGTGGAACTGATGGCAACAAGAATAGTCAAAATTAAACGGCACAATATGAACAACTTTAAGAAAACCAAACACAGCCGGAGGTACAAAATATACACTTAAATTTAAAATACATTGCTCTTTTATAATCCAAAAATATAATACTCAGAAAAAACATTGTCGATTGACGAAGTGTGTGTGGTCTATATTGTTCAAATGCCAACGAAAGACAAGCGAAAAATGGACGTTTCCTAACAACAACCCTGACCTGTCAATACACAGAACTAAATTCATCATCATCATCAACTAGCCTCTACCGTCCACTGTTTGAACATAGGCCTCTGGCATGCTTTTCCACTTAGTTCGATTTTGTGCCATCTGAATCCAATTTGTAGTCACTCTTTTTATGTCGTCTGTCCATCTCGTTGGGGTTGAACCTGTATTTCTGTTAGCTTGTATTCGGGGTCTCCATTCCAAAATTCTTTTTGTCCACCGGTCATCAACTGATCTTGCTACATGACCTGCCCAGTTCCACTTTAGTGTTGTTTATCGTCTGCTACTCCTGATCTTTTGCGTATAGTAGCATTGGGTATTCTATCACGTAGAGAAATCCCTAACATAATTCTCTCCATTGCTCTTTCCGCAACTTGTAGTTTACTCACTGTTGTTATTGTGAGTGTTAGGGTTTCTGCGCCGTAGTTATCACTGGCAAAACACACTGATTAAATACAGAACTAAATTATAAGATAAAATATAGTGTGAGGTGTGTTCAAAAAATACCTGGAATTTTTAAATTTCAGGGTTTTGAAGAGTCCAATCGTCAATTTTTTTTATGTTGGTATACAGGCTTCTAAAGTATAAAAAATTTGCAGCTATATTCATTGTTTACCTGTCTGTGGAAGCCGCTAAGGTTCGATGGTTTTTGACCTCAGCGATTTTCATTTATTTAAAAAATGGATCAAACAATTTGTATTAACTTTTGCATAAAACAATAAATAAAGTGTAAAAAAGTGTGTGAAATGTTAACAAAGGCTTATGCTAAATATGCTATCAAAAAAAACAAATGTTTACGTGTGGTACAAGCGTTTCCAAGATGGCCGTGAAGACGTTGAAGATGATGAATGCTCCGGACTCCCCAGCACATCAAAAACTGATGAAAACTTAAAAAAGTGACAGAAATGGTTATGAACGACCACCAAGTCACAATCAGAGAAAGCAAAATTTGTTCCAAAATTGTTGAATTTTGAACAAAAACAGCGGCGATTGGAAGTTGCTCAGGAGTGTAAACGACTACCCAGATTTACTCAAAAGGGTTATAACAGGTGACGAAACTTGGGTTTATAGATATGACGGCGAAACTAAGGTTCAATCATCCAGTGGAGGCATTCTGGTTCAATAAGGCCAAGCGGTCGTAATGGCATAGTGCACCATGAATTTTTGCCACGAGGTTAAAGGTCAATAAAGGGTACTACTTACAAGTTCAACGCCACTGCGTGAAGCAATCAAAAAAGAGACCGGATTTGGGGAAAAACAACTCATGGTGGCTTTTGCATCACAATAATGCCCCGATCTCACACTTTATTACTTGTTCGTGATTTTTTGGCCAAAAACAATACTGTAATGACCTTCGCCAGACATGGCTCCGTGTCACTTTTTCCTATTTCCAAAAATAAATAAAACTTTAAATTGCCGTCGTTTCACAAGTATCTTCTTCTTCTTCTTCAAGTGCCATCTCCGCGGCGGAGGTCGGCAATCATCATAGCTATTCGGACTTTTGAGACGGCTGCTCTGAAAAGTTCATTTGATGTACATCCGTACAATTTCTCAGGTTGCGCAGCCATGACATTCTAAGCCTCCCTATGCTTCTCTTTTCTTGGATCTTTCCCTGCATAATCAGTTGAAGCAAGGTGTATTTCTCTCCACGTGTAGTATGTCCGAGATATTCTAATTTTCTTGTTTTTATTGTATTTAAAATTTCCATTTCTTGTTCATCCCAGAACCTCTTTGTTTGTAACGTGTTTTGTCCACGATATTTTCAGTATTCTTCTGTACACCTACAGCTCAAATGATTCCAGTTTTTTTATCGAGGTCGCATTTAAAGTCCAAGATTCCATTCCATAAAATAAAGTCGAAATAACATAGCACCTGGCCAACCTAACTCTTAGTTCCAGTTTTAAATCCCTGGTAAACAGCACTCACAAGTATAGACGACATTAAAAGCGCATCGCTGATAAAACCAAAGGCCATCCCAAAGATCCATTGTGAGAAGTGTTTCAAGGATTATTAAAAGCGTTGGCACAAGTGCATAATAACTCTGATGGGGACTATTTTGAAGGAGACAACATTAATGTAGACGAATAAATAAATAATATAAACACCTCGTACACAAATAATTTCAGATTTCCTAAATTCAATAATTTGACTAGAAAATTTTGATTGCAAAAATGCAGACTAATCTCACTTTCCTGCGTTACAGCCTTACCATCATAAGTTTGAGTCACTAGGACGCGTTGCCAAAGAGAATCTGCCTTTCTGTTAGAACTGACTTTCGTGAAATGCACAAACTTTTCTTCAACAACACCAGTGGAAGCATAGACGCATGGATGTACTCGCATCATGTACACTCCCTTACGGTTTCGACTAAAAGGAAGTGAGACATGGCCTAGAAGAGGACTTAAAAATTAGTGACTCTTTTGAGTCTACGAAAAGAATATAAAAGGAACGAGCAGAGGGGCGAATACGGTTGCGAATTCTGTATTCGCTCCGTGGGTCTCCCCTCTATTTACAGTCACGTGACAGGCTGTCAGATTTGTGAGGACGTTTTAGTATTGAGTCTTATGGGATTATTTTGTTAAACTTAAATATTTTATTTTGTAGTGTTAATATCCGGATAGAATTTTTAAAATTAATTAGTTATTTATTTATAGTGACATTTATAGTTCAACAAAAATATTTGTTGTCGTTAATAAAGATTTATTAACATAATCTGCGAAAGTGAGGTTAT